TGTTTTATTCAACCGTGACATATATTTGGGAGCTTTATCTTGTTAAAAGATGTAGTCATTATTAGAGAAAAGTTATTCTATACTTGGTCCAAGTTGATTAATTAAGACTTTGTGATACAAATATTGGTCCATAGTACCCTCCATCCTGTAAAGTTATCTTGCATTGTGCGCACTAAAACAAACATTAACCTTTTTGTCATGTTTTATGGCTTTGAATGTATGGGGGTTGAATTTCCAGCAGTATGATCGATCATTATAAAACAACACAAAAGGAGACTCATCACTCAAAATAACTTTAGCTCATTGCTCACATGCCAAATTTTTGTTCTCAATGCACAACTTTATTCTTTTTTTGCAATTGATTTCACTAGCAAAGGGTTTTTTTATTTGCTTTTCAGCAAAAAATTCACCGGTTGCTTTTATTGGATGAGCTATAGTCCTTTTTCAGATATTAGTAAAGTTCAAACCTAGTTTTATATCAGAAAATGTAATACTATGATCATTTTTGAAAGCTTTAGGAATATAGCAATCTCCCTTTTTTAAAGTTTTGGGCTTTCTCTCAGATCTAGCAGATCTTTTAGCTATACCAGTGTGTTTATATTTTTTCACCAATCTACTAATAGTTGAGTTTTGTTGTCTAAAACATTTTCATATGCTTCTGTGAGATCTCCTTGGTCAGCAGCTTCAATAATTCGTTTTCAATGCGTTTTTAGACTTTTAGAAGAGGAAGAACATCATTAGGAGAACCTAAATATATATATATATATATATATATATATATATATATATATATATATATATATATATATATATATATATATATATATATATATATATAAAATATATATATATATATATATATATATATATAATATATATATATATATATATATATATATATATATATATATATATATATATATATATATAATATATATGTTTCTTTAAACTAGTTCACTCCCAAGAAGAGTTGGGAGTTATTAGAAAACAAAAAATAGTGTTACAAAGCAAGGAAACTATTGAAGAAAGACTTGAAAAGTTGTAGGTTCTATGAATCAGAAAAATATGAAGATTGGGGAGAGTTTTAAAGTGTTTATGTACAAGGAAAATAACTAGATGAATATAAGTTTTAAGAGCTTGAAGGAACAGGTACATTAAAATAATGCAACTTTGCTGAACAGTGTGTCAAGCTAAAATGAGTTTTAGCTAAAGAAACTAAAATTGATAACTCTTTTGAGTGAGGATCATGATGTATTTGTTAAAAAGAGAAAAAGATACAACCTTACGATGATGGGAGAGTGACTCAAGCTTTGCAAATAGACCGGGTTTTCAATGCATTTTTAGACTTTTAGAAGAGGAAGAACATCATTAGGAGAACCTAAATGTATTCTGTATTCTTTACAAAAATAAATAAGAGATTTGTAGAGGTAACGAATAGAATCAGGAGTTAGAAAATTTATTCAAAGCAAACAGCTTAAATAAGTATATGTGCTGCTCATCTTTAATTCTGAAAATTGATAAATTGTTTTTGCAATACCAACTAAAAACATCTATTATTTGTTATAATTAAATTTATTATTATAAACATCTATTATTTGTTATAATTTTATTTACAGCAAAAAGTGGCAAAATATTTAATATGCATAACTATTTACTTACATTGAACAGTAGATTTACAAGCAAATGTTGCATATTAGAGCATGGTGTGTCAGATACTTAAAATAATGACAGATCTCCAAAATAAAGGGAAAAACTGAATAGCTTGAATGTTTGTTGTAGAAAATATACATACCTGTCAAATGATTAACAAGATCATATGTTGCAATTTCATCAGCCTTATTCAGAGTTACACATGATTAGTGTCACCAAGGTCAACAAAATTCTATAAAATCCTCAAAAATCAAAAATTTGCTGAGTTTTCATTTCATCAAATAAAAGTGAAACAAGTCTTTTCTGAACAAATCCTTGATCAGTAAAGTTAAATTTAAGTTCACTTAAATTCAACCTTTAAAATTAATTCATTGACAATATGATTCTTAAAACCTTTTTATGGTCAGATATAGTTTTTTAGTCTTTATTTTTTTTCCATTAAACAAATTTCTTCATAAGCAGCAGGGGGTTTGGAAAAACCACCTAAACAATAGTAATAATTATTGAGTGATTCCTCATTTAGAAATAATAAAGTATTTTTCCCACTTATCCTAAGTATCTTCTGACTGTACTATCATTTTTTATATAATTGAAAGCAGTTTTTTTTGTCACTGACAAAATTTACTTAATTCCAATTTGATTTCTTCAATGTTATCTTTTGGCAGTTTATTTTTTAAACATGTTGTGTAACAATCAAAAAAATGATCACTTTTACATGTTCTGGTTTTTGAAATTGGAGCTTTAAGTTTAGCTGGACTAAAGATGTTGATACGCTTTACAAATATCATTTTTATTAATAACAACTTCATATTAAAGAAGTCCGGTATGTTCTGTTTGGTTTACAGGTATATAACTATAAAATAATTCAAATTTTTAAGGTATACACGAAGAAGATAACCATGAGAACTATTTAATTTATCTGTGATACCCGGACATATATTAACTAAAGTTAGAAAAAGTTGTAATATAACTTTTTTCATGATAATCTGATAAAAATATACAAATGAAAAACTATAATATAAATTTCATACTTAGGAGCAGTGTGAATATTGTCTTTATTACTCAATTTTAAAAAAGTGTCTCCAACATTTACTTTCCAATCAAGTTTTTGTAGGCAAATGAATAATTCCTTAAAAGATTTATATGATTTAGTATTACCTGCTTTATCTGAAGCAATAAATATACACGAAGAAGGGCAATGCGGTAGTGGTGTAGTGGTAGAGTGCTCGCCTTATAAGCAAGAAGTTCTGAGTTTGATTCCAACCATGTACCTGGTAGTACCACGCTAAACTTGTTTCTCTGCGCAGCAGCCTTGCTTGTCAAAAATCGTATGTCAGAGTTATAAAGTTGAGAGATGGTTGTAACCACAACTAAATGTTGCCTCCTCGACTGTAGGGTCTTCATTGCCTTCATTGGGGAACTGAATTAAAATAAAAAAGATTAAAAGCTTTTAAAAAGAAGTTTAATGAAGGTAATGAACCTGGCTTTATAGTAGTTTTACTTTGATTGACATTTTATCCTTCTAATGCAATATGCAATCACAAATTAATAACTTTTATTTTATTTGGGACCTAAGATCTTTATCAACTATTTTTAGTTATAATATGTAAAACTTTTGTTTTCTATTCTTTGTTGAAATCATCATTAGAGGATGGTATCTTAAGAAAGAATTTTAAAACTTTTTTTTTTTGAGAAGTACCACTGCTAATATTGGAAAAATTAGCCCTGGGCATTTGCAAAAAACAAGAATAAATATACAATAAATATTCATCTTCTTGTAAATATTATTAGTGCATCTTATTCTGCAGGTCTCAATTACAGAATTTCTTGTAAATATTATTCCTAATCTGTCTTTGTTTACAAAAAGTGTGCATTAGTTAGAAGACTAGGTTTTAAACAATTGCTAACAATAAGATAAACAATAAGGCTCTTCAAATGTTACTTAATTTGCAGATGGCTTTGTAACTGGTTGCACAAAATAAAAAAAAAGCTTTGATGTAGATACACACCACAGCTTTAGCGATATTGATTACCTATAGATTTATAATTATGACAGTATGTTAAAACAGTATGTTAATAGCTATGGTATGTAACTATTAAAATACTGCTTTAAAATGGTTAAATAATACTCCACTATATGCATACAATCTTTTTAAAAATGGTCAAATAATATTCCACTATATGCAAGTTGCTGGTTATTGTTAGCCATTTTAAAAGATGATAGTTATATTAATAGTTATAAAATTGTTATTATGTAGTAGCTATGATACAAAGCTATGATAGATAGTTGTCAATATGTTGCAACAAGATTGCTAGCTATAAAGCTAAAATATGCAGCCGTTGACTAGCGTTAGAATTGTGGTTGTTAAATGTTGGAATTAGATGTATATCTATGATCTGTAGCTATCAACTAGCTACAAATTGGTTGTTATGTTGTTGCTAGCTATAAAAATATTTAACGAATGGTATAACTTATTAATATCAATAGCAATAAATCTAGATAACAACATGTCAAAATTAAAAATACAATAATATAGGTACAATTATGATCATGAATATATTAGATCCAATACTAAAAATTGAATTTTTTACATGTAAAAGACAAATTAAAGCAATAATGTGAGAAAACAATTTGCTAGCTGGTCACTCGATCATTTCTCACCGGGATGCAATTATACAATTTATATAAGAAAAATTAAATTCTTCTAAAGAATTTTAATATAACCTTAGGCGTTTATATTGATCTACTGAAAGCATTTTGACACTGTCAATCATAATAACTTTAAAAGCTTAAATACACTGGAATAAAAAGAAAAATTATGAAATGGTTTAGGAGTTACATATCAGACCATAAACATTTTTTTTTTCTCACAATAAATACTGTCAAAGAAATCTCTTTAATATTTTTATGGTGTTTGCCTTAAAGCTTCACCTTGCCTCCAAGTTTCACTTTCAGGCCATTTTTGTTTTTACTTTATATAAATGACTTAAGTATAGTCTCAAATTTAATGATTATTATGTTTGACTTTGTATTTAAAAGCCATAAAAAAATTATTTCTTCCTGGTCTTAAGTATCCAGGATCCTCAAAATTTTAAAGAAATCGAAAGAAAACTGAAATTTAAGGCTAAAGTCCATTTGGGACTCTGCATCCCTTTAGCTGGCAACACTAATTTATTCCTTACATATAATAGTAATATAATTTATTTCTATATATGTAGTATATATTAATCTATTTTTATTTATCAATAGATGTATGTAAAAGTTTTTTTATCATTTAGTTATCAAAGTTGTATGTAAATTAAGAATCAACAAATAATTAAAAAAAAAATTGAACATATCTTTTTTTTAGGAACGAAAAAGATTATCAAAAGAAACCTTAATAAAAAGATGTTGTCAGGCATGTTTATATTTTCTGGAAGTTGATTTAAAAAATTTAATTTAATAATCAAAAAATGACGATTGAGTTAAAATATTTATAGATTATTAATTAATATTAAACTTTTTTTATTTTTATTTAGCAATTCATGATTTTAAGTTGGTTATTTACAATTTACTATTCAAGAATTTTTTTTTATTATGTTTTTTTAAATTTATCTCTAAATTTAAATGAAACAAATTTTGTATTTTTGGCTTTGATTATTTTAAGCAACTTGTAAAATGTAATAAATTTAATAAACTTTTTATTTTAAACTGATTTATTCAAGATTCTCTTTGCATAAATTTTAAGTAAATTGTAAATATAATATTGTTTTGAATTATGTTTACAATGTGTCTTCATTTTAATAATAAAATATTATTAAAAATCAGCGGTAATTTAGGCAGGAACGTCATTCTTGTTGCTAGGCATGGCCGGATAAGAGCATTTTTAGGTTAGGGGCTGAGGGCCTAATGTGGCGAATCTTGTGTAACTTCTGCTGCAAGTAAATCCAACTCAAAACTTTACACAATACTCGAATGATTAACGGAAATTAAAAATGAAACTTAAATAGAGTATTACAACTCTATTGATTTTTTCTCAACGCCTCACAGTGGGGCAGAGTTGCTTCAAAACTGGACATTTGACGAAAATGAAAAAAGATTTAAAATTTTTTTAGTGGTAAAGTATAAAACAGTCCACAAGTTTTTTTTAAGGGTAGGACTGACCATTAACCCTTTAATGTGTATTAGTGGAAATGTGTCAATTACTGCTGTAGAAACCAGGTTATGAATGTATCTAACTAACGATAGAGGGGACCAAAATTAACTTTTCTCAGATTTTGTGTAGTTTAACCACTTTTTCTTAAATTTTGATGCTGATTTCAAATTACTTAATACTTTTTTTTTATATACATATTCTGTCTTCTACTTTAATTTCAATATAATTGATTATTTTAACAAAATCAAATTGAGTTAAACGATTGTTATATAAAAGTAGAATCTATGGTAAATATTTTTTTTTCAATTTTATCAGTAAAATAAGTTATCACATCTATGGTTATAAATACAACAAAATAATTTAGCATTATGCGTGAAATTAGTTTAAGAAACCATATGTAACGATTACTAGTAAAAATGCGATATACTTTTAAAGCAACCGTGGTTCAGTGATCGGAGTTCTTTCTCAGAATCAAGAATTCTGAGGTTCAATGTCGTCTCTGGCCAGATAAATGACATTGGTAATGAAGGAAGTGTGATCTTCCAAGCTATATTACTCTTCCATGATGCTTTGTGATAAAATCCTTACGTCTTCTTTGACAACCTGAACAACTAAAAAAAATTATCGTAGTTGATCGTCAATTGTAGTAAAGACTTTTCATAAAAGAAACTTTAAATTAACTTATTCTTCTATAGACATAAGATAGCGTTTTTTGTGTGGACCTTTGTAGGGTGTAGCTACAATGATCTATTGTATCCCTAAAATATACATCCCATTCATCAATTGTTTTTGACATTTTACAGTTCTTTCTCTTTTTCAGTATAATCATTGACAACTGATTCACAAGTAAATTAGCGGCCTTATAATTTTAAGCTAATATTTCTTGGACACCTAATGTAAAGCTTACCGTTCTTTTTTTGCTAACCCGCTCTGTCTCAGTTATTTCTGTCACTGGTTCCAACTGTATTTTATATTTTCATAAAAAAATAAAACTCCTAAAGTGTGACGTAACTTGTGCACGACCCTTTCTCTTGTTTAATGAAGTCATTCAAATCAGGTATTATTTGACAACATAGTACAGACATAGACTCTTTCTGCATTTAAAACTGATTATTACATTAGTATATTTCAAAATATTTCATTATACAACTAAAAAAATGTAAACAATATAACGCGAATAAAAATAATTAATAATTTAAAAACAAAAGTAACTCTAACTAAAGTGACAACCCTAACGTTAGTTAATTTCATAAGAGGTAGGATGAATTAATCGGACTCATTGACTGGGCAGCCAAGCTTGGAGCGCCGGACGACACGTCCGGCGTTCCAAGCTTGGCTGTCCAGTCAATAGGCAGTAAAATGGGCAAACTATATCTTTTATGTTTGAATTTAATATTTTTGCGCAGTTAAATATCTATTAGAGCGACAGTCAGATTACAGTCAGATTTTGGTCAATAATAAAATTTAATGTCAATACGTCTCTGAAAAATATCATAAATACTAACTTCTTAGTTTCAGCTTATATCAAACAGTTTTATTTTTAAAAGCTCATAAGGTTTACATGAAAAACCTTGTCTTCAACAAGTTTTAATTTTTTTTTTCTGTTTTCAGGAATAATTATTTCTGCTTTTTTTATTGAGAAATGTTCATCACCAAGGTCAATATTTTCAATAAAATAGTTTTTATAAAAAACAATAATCTTTTTAATCATTTTTTTAATTTATAACATTTTAAAGATATAGTTATAAAAGTTTAAAGTTTGAACTTGAACTTTCCCCAAAAGTGCACATGCGTACAAGAAAATGAAAATGCGTACACTCCCCTTGTTAAAGAAAGCGAGTACCTGCGCAGTTTGACTATTTCTCGTACTCTATCTGTCCTAAAACTTGATTTCTTTTCTTCTTTTTTTTTTTAATTAAAGCAATTTAAGAGTTTAAAAATAAATGTCATGTTGTGTAACAGAGAAATGTCGAATTTAATTTTTTTTGTGTTTTTAATGTTTTGAAAAACTTTTGCGGGTAAGAGGATCATCGTCATACTTTTTATCATAATGTGATTATTATTGTATTTGAATTTGTTTTTTTTACTGAGAAAAGTTAACTAATAACGCAAAACGGACAACTACTCTCTTTGCAGTTGCTATCATTGCTATCATAAAATATGTCAGAGCAAATAACCTCAACTGTTCTAAAATTTCTGAAAACTTGTTACAATTATAACTGATATATTTTTGTTTATTGGTTTGTTTATTTATAATGACTTGCTGCAATATTCTATTTCAATTTTAGGAAGGTCACTGCTACCTGTAGTACTAAAACCCAAGCCTAAACTCCAAACAAACAAAGTAGTCTCTACTGATAAAATATTTGGTATCAAGAAAAATTATGAAATGCCTGAAAATGTTGTTCGTGATATTCTTAGAGGTTTACAAAAAAAGTTTGGTCGTCTAGGTTTTGTTGGTTCGTCGCGTCCATGAATTGAATAAACAAAACGTATTAGTTTATAGCTTTCTTTTAACTTCACTAATTCTATACAAAAATTGTTTCTATATATACATAATAACAAAAAGTCCCATTAAAATACTTTTAATTACAATTGAAATAAAGCGTGATTTTAAACACGTATCTACGTGATTTTTAACATGCACAATTCACCAACATAAAAAAGAGAATACACCCTCTTAGTGAATTACCTCTTCCTTTAGCGTTATCGTTTTTATCTTTTAGTCTTGACTGATTCATTTGAAATATGATGCGGATATACCCCATTTGCATATTCGACGTCAAACGATAAAGTATTTTGCTTTCGCACTACACCTGGTATCCACGGTTGGTCGTATTTTGTTTCTTGAGTTGGCTTTACCCACACCTTGTCTCCCTCTTTGAATTTCATATTGATGCCTTTCTCGTCTTTTTGCCTCGAATATTGATACCTGGGATGAAACAAGTTGGTTTTTTCTTGAATTGCTTGGATGGACTTTCAGTACAATTGGATGATATTGTCTCATTGTACAGCAAGACCGCCAAAGCGATTGAACAATGTGAGCAAGCAACTGTTCTTTTTATCGTTCTGTGTATGCGTTCAACTATACCATTACCTTGAGCTCGATGTGCTGCTCGATATTCCAAATTAACATTCCATTCTTCAGCAAAGCTTGTTTACGTGTTGGACCAAAATTCGTTGTCTATTAGAAGACATACCGACGGTCCAAATAAAGAGAATATTTCTTCAAGTTTACCAATAACTTCAGCAGCTGTTTTAGTTATTACTTTACGCCATATTGTATATCGTGATGGACCATAATCAATCATTGATACGTACAGTTCAGCACCTACATGTGTCACGTCAACGGCAACCCGATTCCAAGTTTTTTCTACGCTTAGTTGACCATTCTTCCACTGTATGGAGTAAGGATCAATGGAGTTGCACAATTTAGAGTTGCACTTTTCGGAAGCAAAGTTGTAATGTTCGAGCGACACCAAAGTGACCAATCGAATGAATTTTCCATATGTCTTTTTGTTCAAGTAATCCAACTGCACTCACTGTTCTGCAACATTTTTGAGGGATTCGTGAGAGTCGATCAGCCAAATTTATCTCAGATGGAATCCATTGTACTGCGATCTGAATATCTTTTGCCACTTCCTTAATAGTATTCAATCGTCTTTGTACTAACAATTGAGAAATTCCTCGAGTTTTTACGCAATATTCTTCCTTCAAAACTGCGTTTAACCATCCTACGGTGCTCTTGCTATCACTGTATACTGTTAACTCTTTTATGCTCCACTTACTAGCTAAGTTTAGTCCTCGAAGTATAGAATCCAGTTCACTTATATTGATATGGTGTGTGTCACTCGCTGGCCGTAGCCATGCTGCGTCTTCAACAACTACTCCACCAATGAGCAGAACTACCCCAAGTCCTATAGATGATGCATCACAATAAAACTCAGCTTTTCCATTAACTGGTACCAGCCATTTTCCACCAACCGGATCCTCTTTTTCCACACGGTAAAGCAACTCTTTCAGTTTTTCTTTACAATCTTAAGAAATAAAATCACACCAAGGTATATTTCCAGCTAAACGTTTGATGTATGAAGCTTGTAAACGCAAACTTCCTGCCACTGAGTAATGTCCAATGAGTTTACCTAACTTGCTAAAAAGCTGCGATCGTGTAACTGCATTTAAAGGTTTAAATTGTACTACATTGTCTCGTTTCCATATCAGTTCCCCATTTTTATTTCTTTCGACTCTCAATCCTAAGACACGTCCTTGTTCAAGATTTTGTGGAGGTTTACATTGTAACCCGAATTTATGCAGATGCTTCGCCACATTATCCGGAGTTTCCACACTTTCATCCCCAAATATATCATCAATGTAGTTATCACATGCTTTCTTTACAATTGGATTTAAATTGAGCACATGCTGAAGAATTGTGGTCATTATTGTTGGAGCCACGTTAATGCCAAAACACATTCTAGTAAAACAATATTGTTTCCCATTTATAATCAACGTTTGAAATGGCCAGAATCTTTTATCAATATGAATTTGGAGGTAGGCTTTTTTGAGATCAAGAATTTTTGCATTTTTAATTTTTCTCCAACAACGCAGTTTTTCTTGACAAAAGTCCGCATTCGCTGTATGACAATTTACAAATTTGTCGAGAGCTCGAAAATATCCTACTGGACGTACCTTTTTGTCCTTATTTTCTTGTATTACGCACATTAGCGGTATCAATACTTTAGGTGGTCCCAACGTTAGTTCGTTATATGGTACAAGAATGCCAGAATTAATCCATTAATTTATTTCTTTGCGGTAACTACGTTCGTACTCGTGGCTCATCTTGTATTCACAAATGATATTATCAATTACAGGCTCTTTATTATTTTCCCATCAAAATTTGCTGCAAAGTTCTGATGTTTTATTTCGTTTCTTTTGTTTTCTTCATTTGTATTTTTGACACCACATTTTATTTCGTTTATTTCGTTTTTGTTTTTTTTCGTTGCAGTAATGGCACCACATTTCGCTGTGTGTGCTAACATTCGGACAATTTCCAATTTGATTACCGTTTCACCCAGCACATGCACAGCTCCTCCCAAAGGTGTAATAAGTTTTTGACTTTTTAAAATAAGACCATGCGTGGATTTAGCATGAATCACAGTGATGGAGCATCCAGAATGAATTAATGCTGTTCAGAGCATTCCATTTATTTTTCACTTTTAATGATGGCAACGTCGTTTCTGGGAGAATACTGGATGCCATTATTTCCATATTCTCCCTTTTCCTTTTAAACTTTGCAATCGTTTGAAGCAGTCTTTAGCTTGATGATCGTGTGAACAAGTCTTGCATTTTGCTTCGCAGTCCCGTGCAAAATTTCCAAGTTTCCCACTATTAAAACATGTAACTTTGTTCGTGTCGGACACACTAGATGTCCGCGGAAGTAACGATGTTGCCGCAATCATTACATTATCGGAATCATCTAATTGTCGAGCTTCCTGGGTTACTCGTTCAAGGGTAACAGCAATTTCCACAGCCTTTGCAAACGTTTGTTCTTCAGATTCCAGTAATAATCGTTTGATTGTAACACCATCGCTAAAGCCCATGATGGTCGCGCATTCGATCATCTCTATCCGTGAATTTGCATCCTTCAGCAGCTCTTGCGATTCGTCGTGAAAATTCCGGCACACTTTCGTTACTTGCTTTTTTTATAGTTGCAAATTCAAAGCGTAGTATTAACGATGACTTCGGTTTAAAAAGCTTCATGATATTTTCCTCGATGTCTTCGTTACTTGCTTATTTTATAGTTGCATATTTTTTTTTTTTTGTATGTATTTAGGTGCTCCCAGAAGTCCTTACGGTCTTATCATAGAGCACCGCGGGAGAGCATTTAATGGGAAGTTCACGCCTCCTTCCGTATCAATGTCACTTGTTTGGCAAGAGCTGGCGTCGAACCTCGGACCTCTGGATTCTGAGCCAGAACTCTAACCACTGCGCCACGGCTGCTAAATTCAAAGCGTAGTATTAACAATGACTTCGGTGTAAAAAGCTTCATGATATTTTCCTCGATGTCTTCGTAGGTAACTGAGTCATCTTCTCCCAATAATAAAAATGACGTTGGAACAACGTTATTCCAACGTATTCCGTATCGTTGGAAAGATATTGGTATGATGTTATAAATGAAACAGCGGAAAGACGTCATTTTGCTAACGTTGTTGCAACAATGTAAAAGGACGTTGTGACAACGTTACATTCGAGCTAAATGACGTCGGAAAGGCGTTATAACAACGTTGAAATTTAAGAAAAAAGACGTTATGAAGACGTTGGGCAAACATTTTATTTTGAGCGAAATGACGTTGAGACAATGTCTATTCTATCGTTGTTTAGACGTTGGAATAATGGCTGAAATAAAACATAGGCTAACGTTATTTTGATGACGTTGACCAAACTTTATAAGAAAAACAATCAGCAATGTATTTCTAACATTTTCACTATGTTATTTCTACACTGCAAAGAGCAATAAAGCACTATGTTACACTGTATAACATCGTGCTGTGATATTTTTTGTCCTTGTATTTATTTAGTTCATACATGGCAATTATAATATTCGAGGCAACTAATTGATTATGGAAATTAAAAGACTAAAAAAGAAAAATAAACTTTACAATACTTCTATTTCAAAATTTTAAAATTATATACAATAACTTAGAGTGAAACTAGTTTGATTTTTACATTCTTTCCAAACTTCTTCCAAAATCTTTGAGCAAAATCCTTTGAAATAGAGAAAAACTAACTTTATTTCTATTATAACTATCAAAATAAAATTTTTTAAAATAACAAACTTTTATAAAACACCTTCTAACATCCTAATTGAAAAATTCAAATTTTCAAAATTTGAATGTTTCAATTAGGATTTTTAAATAAAATTTAACAAAATGTCATTATTAAATATATATTCAACATAAATGTTGAAATAGTAGGGAATATATTTACCATAAACTATATATTCTCAATAAACTTCATTCAAAAACTAATGCAACTGTCAAAAAAAATTTTAAATAGATAAAACAAACAAAATTTATTCAAAACACACAATCATGACATAATGGAAAAACAACATTTCTTGTTCTACCCTTAAAACTAATAACTTAGCGTTTGAGTTCAGTTTTTTGAACAGTTTTTCCTTTTACAGACGCATTTTTTTGGCACAGATAATATTTTTTTATATCTTGAACTGCATGGTACAACAAAGAAGTCATTAAAAAGCCGACATGGAATTATTTCACAAAATGAAAATCGAAATTGATTTTAATAACCTGTGCTAACTGACCACTTTTCAAAAAAAACCAGCTATTTTTACCACTAGGGACTACTTTTGATTTGTGTTTTTTTCTCAAAAATTTATTATCTAAACAATCTATTTCTCCTAAACGCTTGAAAACGCACGAACCAATCTTTTCAGACGCTGAAAATAATTTTCAAACGAAAAGACAGACATATCAAGTAGGGTCATTTGAAATTTTATAACATCTTCAGACAAATGAATCAGGTTATGAACATTATATGTAGAAAATGTTGGACCATAATAATCCACAGACTTAGATACAAACCAATTTAACAGCATTGATGCATAGCCAATGGCATTAGAACTAGAATTATTGTCATCTAACACACAAATAGCAATATTAAGACAAAGAAAATGCATATAAAGATCATGATTTAATACATTTTTCAATACATAGGGACCAGTATACATAAGAAATGAACGAAACTCTGTGGCTTTCCATCTTTTAAACTCTAATAGTGATCTAGGCTGTCTGAAAAAATAAGATGGCATTTTACCAAATGATTAAAAACAGAAGTCATTTAATTTTTCAGTTATGCGGTTAATTTAAACATATGACAAACAACATATGTTTGGTCCCTCTGTCCAAAATATTATTAGTCGTCGAACAACCTCAAGACAAACTAAATGCATATAGTCTAAAACAAAGGTAGAAACACAAGGTAAATTAAAATCAATTAAAGGACTTCTAGACTTTATACATTTAATAAAAGCACGTGTTGGAGCATCATATGTCCAAAACTTTAAACTGACATTAAAAAAATTATCTTTGTAAACAAGACCATTTTCTGAAAGCATTTTGAATTTCTCCAAAAACTGCCTGAGAAACTCCAAAGAAGAGATAGGTTTTTGTATGCCAAAGAAAAAAGCAACAGGAAACAGAGGTTTAGAACCATATTGACAAAGTAAAGGCCAAAGCTGAGTTTTGCTAGATTTAAAATGCGGCAGACCATCTAAATTTACTATTAAATGTATGTTGTTATTGATACTTGCTTCATCAACTTAGAGCATATTTTTAATACCAGTAGCTAAACCTAGATAGATATTTTCAGTAAGAACACAATTAGGCGTTTTAAGTAAAGTTTTAGAATTTTTTGGTAGGTCCTAGTGTCCGTATTTTCACAACAAAATAAGCAAATCATTTAATGAAAAATGTGTAACTGCATGCTTAACCGCCCACTGAGCAAGATCATGTGCCAAATCAGGACAATGTTTAGAATGAAAAGACTCAAAAGAGTTATTAAAATCATCACTTGTTGAAGAGAGTTCAGTTATTGGTAATGTAGAATCACTTTCAAAAGTATCAATATTATTATGAATTGGACTAGAAAAAAAGTCACCAGTTGAACTTTGATAATTATTATTTTCTAATATACTGGCAATCAAAGAATTAGTCTTTCTCCATATTGTAGACCTTGATGTCATTGTATATCTTTGTATTTCTTATCTATAATACTTATATAAAAAAGAATATACATATACATATATATATATATATATATATATATATATATATATATATATATATATATATATATATATATATATATATATATATATATATATATATATATATATATAATATATAGGACAAGCATTAAAAAAAACCAAACTTATTTAACAAACAGTCAGAATTAAATAAGTAATTCTGATTGAATGATGGCAAAACCATAATTACAAAAATACTTTTATGCAATTAATTTTAAAACATTTGAATTATTCAATAACAATTTAGTTATGCTACACCCAACCTAAAACACTAAAAAATATTGATAAAATAATAAATAGGCTTGTATAAGTTGTAAGAGCAAACAAACTTACAGTCAATTAATTATCCAGCTTTTGTTTTTTAAATCTTGTTAAACATATTAAAATATAACTCATAAACATTAATACAAAACCTTTGTTATCCAGTTTTCTGAGTGTAAATTCATTCAAATCTTCTATTGCTCAACAGCTGAGTTGAAATTTTTAGGATGTGGTGATGTATTTTTGGGTTGACTTGTGTTAATTTCACACAACTTAATAACTTTGTACTGGAACTCATAATAATAAATAACAAATAACAGTATTCAACAAAAAATTTTTTTTAACATTGCATGTAGTTTATTGGAAAGGTTAAGATTAGCTCTTTGTTTTAAGTCTGAAATAAGAGAAATATGAGATTTTAATTGGTTCAAAGCAATATTTATTTATCATGACTAAGTTCTGCTTTAAAATATATGTGTTCTGTTGCTTTTTCTGCATGATATGCTTTTCTATTCCTAAAATCAGATTCAATTTTATGTTTTAGGGTAAATGCTTTGCCAAGTGTTGAAAAAAATTAACATCAAATTATTAAGTAAAAAATTGAAAAAACAAAAATGAATACTTTAATATGTGG